AGTAAAAAAATAAATTAATCGAAATTTTATGAAATTTACCCATACCAATTTTTCCACTATAAAAAAATAAATTTAATTCCTAAATCTGCATATCCAATCCTTTAATTAAAATAAAAAAAATTAAGTGATATTCGCCTAAAAATTTATAAATATTATTAGTAATATCTGATTTCAAACTGTATGTACGAGTATAACCAAATCTGTACCCTTAAACGGCTAGCGGTTTGCATCTAACCGAAAACGTTTAAATAGATATATCCTGACACGTTGTTTAATACAAAAACCCTTCCAACGAATTAACGTACTTTATAAGGAAAAGAGATGGCGAAGACCTTTATCTTGACTTTAAGCGGTCACTTTGTATGACACCTACATGCTATAAACGTCCGATCTGAACGATTTATTAGGAAAATATAAAAATTGAAAGTCTAGTAGACTCAGCTCGTAACATTGATCATTTATGTATATACTTTATAAGGTATCCGACGTCGCCAAACATTTATAAAATTCTTTGTATTATATACCGAAATTTCTTTCAAAAGCATTGCCTATATATTAAGCTTCAGAACATTATTTTTTCAACTTCAAACACCAACGAGCTCCTTTCGAATTCTTTTACTCAATTCCTTTTGAATGACAGCTGTGCATTGCATGAAATTCAACGTTACCTTTAACTTGCTGCACCGATGTCAATTTGCGCTCCCACAGATCATCGAATGGCTGACCAGCTGATGGCTCAAAATCGGGCGTGTATTGACGCATACCGGCCGAGGTAGTGAAACAGCATTTGCACATGCACGAATGATAGCGTAGACGGCCCTCATCCAGGTAGGGATGTGCCAGAGCATCCGTCACTGTGATGCGCTTATCCTGCAAGAAGAATATGAAAGATTGTTTAGAGCAATGCGAGAAATATAATTCACACAAACAACACTCACCGGATCGAAGACAAGCATTTGACAGAGCAGATGCACCGCCTCGTGCGTCGCATGCGAACTGAGCGTGTACAACGCCGAAAATGATGGCAGCTTGGGTGCGCGACGCAGCATATGTGAGCGGGCGCCATCGCAGGCGTGACGCATATCCTCCATGGATGGTGTGCCCAACAGCTCAGTGATCAGCTCCAGCTGTTGTACGGGATTCTGTGCCTGAAAGAGAATGCGACGACCGAGCAGTTCGCCAAAAATGCAACCTACCGACCAAACATCCACCGCCGACGAGTAATGGCGTGCGCCCATTAGAATTTCCGGTGCACGATAATATTGTGTGACGACCTCTTGTGTCATATGTTTGGCCTGATCGGGCTCCTCGACGCGCGCCAAACCGAAATCACATATTTTCAACACACAATTCGAATTGACCAGCAGATTGCCGGGCTTGATGTCACGATGTAGTATGCGCGCCGAATGCAGATACTTGAGACCGCGCAATATTTGGTAGAGGAACACTTTAATGTGATCGGCGGAGAGATGTTGTGGCGAGACGATTATCTTATGGAGATCTGACTGTAGAAGTTCGGTTATCACATATCTATACATTTGAAGTCGGACGAAAAGCAATACAAACGAGGAGTTGAGGAAAGCCGACGTGTGAGCGACACAAAGAAAAATATTAAAAATTCTAAATACATACGTACACACATACAAAAAATATTACAAATATTAAGAAAGTTTAAACTTTTGGACAATAAAACGAACTGCTAGTATTCGTGGCTGTGTCTATGCAACGAGTGCGCCTTCAGCGGCAATTGTTGACTTAGAAAAGTTGCCGATTTAGGGCACTTACTATCGCCCATCAAGCTGTGCAAATACAAAGTTCAGCAGAGAGAGCGCCACACAATGAGTGTGAATAAGGCAAAGTTTTTCAATTAAATCGCATTGATTTCATCCATTTGCTTTGATGTTGATGCGCAGTATTGTTGTAGTACTAGCGCAACTTTTGGGCCGCCAACTTTCACAGCTTTCTACTTGAACACGCGCATTTGACTGCCTGCCTGTGATAGCGACAACACAGCCTTGAACCGCCGGAAACCGCAGAATTACGACGAAAGTGGCTCTGGAAAATTTAATTTCCCCATTAGCATTTCGCACACACACAAATCGAGAGAGAGAGAGAAAGCGAAGCGGTGAGGCAGAGAAACGCCAGTCAGCAGCAGCTTTGGCTTAATCTTCAATGAATTCTAATTAAAGGAAATAAAAATGAGCTAGCGCATGCTAAAAACATTTATTTGCTCGAGTATCTCGCTAATTTCGCTGCAGTGTAAAACAACTGTTACAAAATAGTCAAACAGTGTCAACGCTTGGGCAGGCATTCGCCTGTTGCAACAACGTCCTTGCTTGCATGCAGCAGTGGCAGCAGCTGGCTTGTGGCGCAGGCATTGCAGTTTTGTTGCCCCTAAAAGTAGGCACCACCTTGCAGCGTCAGTAAGGTGAGTTACTCTAGCTGACGCCGAGTTCTGCGTTCGTGTGTCGTAGATTGATGGCTCGCTTGACTTGGTTGGCTCGGCTGTGCCGATCTGCCTTATTGCCTTAATACAATTCATACTCTTGCCGAGCGGAAAGGTGAAATATAACGGAAAGACAAAGATACAACTTCTTAATAAAAGATAAAAGTAAAGCTTGAATGCAGTCAAAGCTATGCCGTAAAACTTTTAATGGTTCGCAATTTCATTTCGGCATAAAAGTTACAAACTCTGATTTTATGCACCTATTAAAATGCTCAAGATAAAGTTGCATCTATGAGTGATGCGTTCGGAGTGAGGAGAGCTCTATTTAAATTAAATTGAGTTGGGTGGTGCTTAAAAGGCATACTTAGTTGATTTCGAATGCGAAAGACGGCGCGGGCAGTTCTATCAAATATTATTTGTTATTTATTAAGATTTAATATCTTAATAGTTAATATCTTATAGTTTAATATATATTTTTTTCAATTTTCCTTCGGCAGATATTAGATTTAATCAAAGTAAAAATGCTTTAATGCTAAATTCAGCTTTTTACGTTAACTTCGGTTGGACCAAATCTATAATACTTTAAAAAACTGGTATTGAAACTTCTATACCTTGATTTGGATCCGTCAGTTTGTATGGCAGCTACATTTCATAGTCGGCGTAAAACGTTGCCTACATTTCGGCTGAATAAAGACGAATGAGTCGTAAAGAGAAAGTATTGCAGAAAATTTGAACTGAGTTAAAGTTGGTTAGGTACAATGGCACCTAGAACTTTAGTATACCCATTGTAATACCAGCGGAACTAAAATCCTCTCAATCTAAGGTTTTATTTGAGCAGCTACCGAGACGTCGTCAAGAAATTCGCGAACGATGGCTGCGAATATTTTCCTTTACAAAGCTCTCCATCGCATAGAATATGGTTTTTACAATAGTCATTATCGGAGCGTTCTTAGTCCGCTGGCATGTCTGCCAATTAGACAGCGACTTGTCAGAACTTCTACTTGGATTCTTATTTATATCATTCCTTTTAAACTTAAATAGTCATGTGATTGTGCCGGTCATATTCCATTCATGGATTGACTCCACCGAGGCTCAGTTATGTTTTTAATATGTTTGTCGATTAAATATCTACCAGTAGCCAGCGGAATATTAATTCCCTTTTCCTGGAGTCTAATTATAGGGAAGTGTCTGTTGTGACTAGCTCCTCTGCTCATCTCTGGAAAAGAAAGCATATTTTGGGACCAAATTTAAATTAATTTCTAAAAGACGTCGAAAAGCCATGGTATTGAGTAGAAACAGGAACATAGTAAGTACCTTCGACCTTTTCAACTGTTGAAAATATTAAATAAGTGAAGGATACGGTGCTTGAAAACCAACAGACAAGTGATAGAGAGACGGCAAGAGAGCTCGACATCTCTCGGTAGTTCGTACGTATGATTTTGGTGAATATTTTTTGCAAGAAATGCGTTCTTGTTTGACTCGTCCCGATAAAGCTCAATTTTTTTCAAAAAGGGTACCGTAAACAAACCTATTTGGACATGTTTGATCATGCGAATTTCGATCCCACATTCATGGAGAGCATTATAACTGCCGATGAGACATGGGTTTATGAGTTTGATATGCAAAAAAGTCAACAATCATCGGAATAAAGGAAAAAAAAAACGAGTCGAAACCAAAAAGAAGAACACGCCAAAGCCACTCAAAAATTATAGGAATGTTCATTGTTTTTTCGATATTCGGTAAATAAGGAATTATATTTAGCGTCAGAACATCCGGCGAAATCGGCCGGAATTGTGGAAGAACAATTTATGGATATTACACGACGATAATGTACAGTCGCATCCAGCCACGATTGTGTTTTACAGCCAAAAACGTAATGAATACAATCGTATTCACCAGATTTGGCCCCGTGTGTCGTTCCATGGAACCCTTTTTCAGTCGACCGAAGAGACAAAAAAAAGAAGTGCTAATGAAAAGTGTTTTGAGGACTGGGGAAAAATAAAGAGTACGAAAACAAACTAGCTGTAATTGAAGACTTTCAAATTATTGTACTTTCAAATAATTGACTGAGTGAGCCGCCACTTCGCTTGAAGCTGAACCAGTGATTAAAGCGGCAAACTAGTTAGCCAACTAGGATTTCCGGTGCAAATGCAAATATGTATACACATAAATATAGTGGTAGATAAAAATTTTTTTAAACAGAAAAACGGAATTGATAGCTTAGCTTTTACTTCTAACTTTATGCAATTTTTTTTTGGTTTTTGGTTTTGTTCGCTTAATTATGCTATGCAACGTTTTCTGTTACTCGATTTGTTTATTATTTGCATTTGTGCAAGTTGAAGGAGATAGTTATGTATTGCAGCTTACTGCTGCTCTTCTGCTTTCCCTTCATATTCTTTGTATTKTTTGTGTGTATGTATGTATTTTCTGCGTGATTATGGTCTTTTGTTTGTTATTATTATGATTCTTTTTTGTTTTTGTTTGAAAAGGATACATTTCTTGGAAGAAATCCAAATGAGGTGGTTGTAAAATGTCCAATGCTGAGAGCACCTGCAAATAGAAGAAGAAGACAAATCGTGTTATAATGAGTTCAGTTTAATCAGAATTACATAATTACAATGTACAAAGGCGCAAGTAATAATGATAGATAATGTTTTATGGAAATAGACAAAGAGTTCTCACACAATTAATTGTTTTGCAGAATTGCTTTTCATAATTAATTTTGAACCGATATACACTACATGCGTAGACGGTGTAAGATCCAATGTCAACACTCTTTTTTTTTAGACAAATGTGGCAGCAATATGTAATGCTGGTCTCACTATTAGTCTCTATCTCACGAGAGGTCACATGACGAGCATGCAATAATAGCTTGCGCACAGCATCAATAGTTTTCGGAACAACAACTGATTTTGAACGATCTCCACAAAATTCGTCTTGGAGTGACCTATGATTGAATTCGACATACTATCGATAAATACTGGTACATGATGGAGCTTCACCGTCAAAAACTGAAATAAGTTCATCGAAGCACCAATGCTGAGTTAATCCACATCGAAAGTTGTAGAAAACAATCGCGGGAAAATTTTCGCGATTTTATGCCACTTTTTGGCCAAGATGAATATTTTAAGATACTGTAAATGACAGAAATAGCGCTCGTCTGTCCAAAAGTTCTAAGTATATATGTATAACATAAAAAATTTTACATTTTCCGATAAAGTTGTGAATTGCCAGATTGTAACACCTTGCTATAAGAATGCACCAGCGAAAAGCATTACAAGGGTGCAGCCGAAGTTAACATCTTTCTCTTTTCAACACTATATTTAGCTTTTAAGACAAAACTGTCCAAGTATAAACGAAGGATAACAAGAAAAAATCACATAGAGCCAAATCTGGTGAATAAGGTGGTTGATCGATGGTATTCATTGCATTTTTGGCTTTAAATTCGGTCACAATGGTGGCACGATGAGAAAACAATTCAGCTTTATCGTGACAAGTGGAGCAAGAACGCGTTTCATAGCCAAGATATCCACCATTCGAATCACTCGAACGGACTCGCAAGAGATGTTAAGCACCATCTTCTTCACTTTTTTAATCAGTTGAAGAGGTCGATGAACGAGGCATGTCTTCTACGATCTCTCGACCGTCTTTGTACCAACCGCAGGCTTGTGTTTAGACTGCTCACTGAATCACCGTTAGCTTTTTCCAACAAAAATGATTCCGCATACGAAATTCGGTTAAGCCTCTGCATTGAGTGAATTAAATAATTTTCACTAAACGTGTGGGCTTAGCTCATTAAAATGCTTGTAATAATTGGAATTCCACAAAATAATAACACTCTAAACTTTTCTTATCGTAACAAATTATTAATATTATTAGATGTATTGAATACTAGTGTACATATATGACTAAATTACTTCATAAAGTTTTTACAAAAAAGTAGTATTTTGTAATCCGAATTTGTGAGCAAAAGGTCAGAACATAATTTGCCCCAAGCAGCTATTAAATTAAACGTAAAAGATAAACATAATCGTTTGAAGTGCTTTTTTTTATTTTTTTACTTTTATTTTAAATCAATAAAATCGAATTGGCAGCTTGACCTACTTTTGATGAGTTTACAACCAATTCGGGGCAAAGGCTATATATCTGAATTTAAGGAAATAATAGTGACAAATGCTGCCAACAGCGCGCGAGAATTGAAATAGAGCTGTAAAAAAAATAAAAAAAAAAAAAAAAAAAAAAAAAAAAAAAAAAAAAAAAAAAAAAAAAAAAAAAAAAAAAAAAAAAAAAAAAAAAAAAAAGAACGGAACACCATTTAACCTCGGAGCTAAGCAGCCAACGATATCAACAAAGAAAATAAACATTAAATGCTCATCAAGTTTTATAAACTTCGCGTCTGTAAATGTCAATAAAGTCGCAAACATTGCTTCAAGTTGCCGCGCATAATTGCTAGCAATCAACAACTGTGTCTGTGTGTGTACATGTGTCGGTGGTGGTGGTGATGGTAGTTGGCAGTGGCCAAGAACCTTCCACTCGACGACGGCGAACGTCATAAAAATCACCCTTGAAGGCAGCTGGGTAGACAGGCGGCAGCAATGTTGCAAGCGCGATGTTGCAAGGAATGCTCGACGACTGTGGCAATGTGGCTAAGGAAAACAATGACAAGCGCGCAAATGTAATGATTACAAAAAAGACAACAGCAACAAAACGAGTAGAGGGAAAAATCAAACAGATTTCGAGCGACTTATTTGTTTTGTTGGTGTTGTTGGGCGCAATCGTTAATGGATAGGACCGGCAAATGTAGAAAAGTAGCAACAACAACTAACTGAGTCACCAGCAACTAAGCAGCTGAGTGACTATAAATACGAATAGCTAACTACCTCCACACAAATACATACAAGCAAACACACACACACACATACACAAGTCCATACAAACATACAAATATACAGAAATATATTTGTCGCGTATTTTCAAGTGCTTACCGTTCGCCTGATAAAGTGACTGACTGCTGGCGGGTGGATCAACGAACCGTAGGCTTCACTCCGCCCCGCTCAGCTCGACTGCGAGCGTTTGCCAGTGATGAACGCTGATTTATTTCGCTCGAAGGCTGAGAGCGCGCAGACAAAACGATAGAGACATAAAAACAAAGCGACGCAGAAGCGAAGCAAAACTAATAAAAATACATAAAAGTAAATGGTAGTTGCCACAGAAGATGACAACAAAGCGAAATTTGCGAAGAGCACAACAACAAAAAAGTGCGCAAATATCGCAACCTAACACCGCCAACAGCAACAAAGTCGCAATGATGGTAGTCAAAATGACAGAAACGAGAAAAAATCCTTACACCGAAGCTACTATGTATACCCTTTACAAATACCAAAAATTGTTTGCATGAACTTGATTTTAATTGGTCAGTTTGTATGGCAGCTATATGGTATACGAATTCGATCTGAAATTTCTTCGGCCTTTTTTGTTTTTTTTTTTTTTTTGCTTTGGATAATAACCCATGCCAAATTTCGTGATGATATCTCTTCAAATGCAAAAGTTTTCCATACAAGCATGTGATGGCGATCCTCCAGTTTGTATGGCAACTATATGCTATAGTGATCCGATTTGAATCATTTTTACAGAGACTGTAGCATTGCCTTGGAGAAAATTTATTGCCATATTTCGTGGAGATATCTCTTCATATGAACAATTTTTCCACACAAAGACTTAAACTTGATTGAGCAGTTTGTATGACAGCTGTATGCTATTGAAGCTCGATATCGGCGGTCCCAAAATTACGTGCTCAATTTTTCATAACAATGTCACAGAAACTGAGGGACTAGCTTACGTATATACAGACAAACGCATATGGACAAATCGGCTCAGCTGGTCACGTTAAACATTTATATATAACTATGCATATGTATATACAATATTTCATTTTACAAAATATAGTAGTCTCTTCGGGGTATATAAATAACAATAATATGTATATATGTATGTAATGCCAGAAACACTCCCAGCAATGTCAACGATGAAAATGAGCAGAGCAAAAACAATACGTACAAAATGACAGTGGCAATGGCAATACCAATATCTACCACCATTAGCAATAACAACAACAAAAACAACAAGGCACATAAAATGTCCACAGCAACACTCAGCGCGCTGCTGAACCAACAGCCAGTCAGTCAGTGAGTCGCACAAAGAGGTAAAGAACTTTTGGCAATGGCTGTTTGTGTGTACGCGAGTAGCAGCGCAAATGTCATTGCAACAACGGTAACAACAACAACTGACAATGATGACAGCAAACAAACAGCAGCGCCAGCAAGTAAAAGAACAATGAACCGCCGACTGGCCACCGGCTGCCTGATTGCTGCAACATTATCCATCGGTGGCTGCTTGGCGTTATTTTCGTACAATTTCGTTTTGCCACACTTATTTGCGTTATTTATTTATTTGCAAGCTTTTGACTTTACACTTCTCTGGTTTTAGCCGAGGTCCATTGTCGTAGTACAACAGTTTCCTTGAAGTTCTTGAACTCCCTCACAATGGTTGTTTTAAATTTTATTTAGTTCAAGCAGTTGTTTGCTAGCTTTAAAGTTTGTTTTGCGGTCTGTCAATGTTGCGCAAGTCCAAACGGCAATTGGGGTAGCAGAATGGAACTTGTGTATACATTATACAGTTAAATTTTCGAACCAAATATTTTCAAACTCGGCTATAACCGCGTAAGCGTTGTCTACGCCAATAAAGAAGAAGAAGATATTTTCTAAGCAAAGAACTAGTTATTAATTTTTTCAATTTAAGGAAATTCGTATTTTTTAATTGAAGACTTGTTTTTGACAAAATTTTGAACTCTTTCTATTTTTCCTAAATGAAAGAAATTCAGTTGAAACCCATTGGAAACGAAAGATAAAATGACAAAAATGAAAGCAAAAGAATTTACGAGCTCAGAAAAGGGAAGAGGTGGGACGTGGTTGAATTTTTAAGGCTTAAAAACGGTTTAACTCGATTTTCGGCAAAACTTTTATTTCTAAAGAAACAAGTTATATCAAAAAACTGTAGATAATAAAAAGCCGTAGATAATGAAGAGAGAAGAAGAGACTTTTAAATTAACACCTTTTTCCCACAACCTCAAAATTTATGTGCGAAATTCAAATGACCAAGTTTTTAGCATTTTTTACATTTATATTGAACAAAATTTTTTTTAATTTGGCGAAAGTTGGTGTAAACTTACCTACTAATGTCTCAAACACACTGTATTTTTTATTTAAAATACTTATAAGAACATATTATTTTAACTTAATGGAGATCGCTAATTTTCAATCAAAAAATGTACGGCGTTATCTGTTGAAGTTTCTGCTGTCGAATGGTATAGAAAATAGAAAATAATCAGACGATTCAAAGCTGGTTTTCTTATTTATTATCTATCTGTTATTTCGTAGTAGAAGCTTTTTATTTCAGTTTAGTTGGGTTTTATAATAAATACTGAGAACTATACCAAGAATCACCACACATAGAAACAACGCGTCCAAATTTGTAGAACTATACCAAGAATC